TTGTGCAGTGCAGTTTCTCCTCATATTCGCTGTCGTACATGTTACGCACCATTTCTTCGATGGACGCTCTCTCGTCTTTCACAGCCGCTCTACACACTGTGGTGTGCGACTTTCGTGATGGTGAATCAAGACCGCTGACCACCCAACCAAATCTAGTCAGCACCGCGTATGGGCTTCCGTCTACACTTGGAATCACTCTCACTGGTTCCATGGCTAGGAACGCATTTGCTCCCAAGAGCAATCCAACTTCACTTATCTCGGGCTCTGGTAGCTCTAAATATCTGAGGTGATCCCATCTTCTTACATCGTCTGTCTTGGGGTAGTCGCTTGGGTCGGCAGGTATATTCTCCATGCTGAAGAGCTTTGGTAAGTCCATTCTGTTATCTCCGCACAGGTCCGTGATGTGAAGTCCTTCCACTTCCCGTGTCGGAATGCTGATGTCCTCCTGAGCCACAGTCGTGATGGTCAGGTGCCTGCTGGGCTGTTGTTTAATGCCGAGTTGATCCATCAAGCTTTCAGTAGCGAACGAATGGGTAGACCCACTGTCGAGGAATGCGAATGTCTTAATCTTTATGTTGCCGTTACAGACGATGACTGGGACCAGGGGTAGTGTGGGCCGATCTGAGTTTTCCGCTCCTGCAGTTCCGCACACTGTCGCACCAGTAGTACCGGTCCTCTCTTGTGGTGGCTGAACTGTCTCTCTCGGTGGTCCAGTTTCATGGCCACGACTTTGAATGGCGAGTTCATGGCGTCCTTGGGCTCGGTTCTCTCTCTGTGGGCGTTCCAGATGCATCGCAGTCGGATGACGTCTTTTGCATATTCTGCACTCAGCTCGTCTTCGGCAATCGGCGCTCATGTGACCTTGTCTTAGGCAAGAGAAACACAGGGACCTGCTCATTGCGAACGCCTTTCTCTGCTCCGGTGAAGTAGCTCGAAGCTGCTCACAGTCGGCTGTGACGTGCCCTATAACGTCACAGAACACGCAGGCTGCCTGATTCTGGGTTTGGGCGGCTGCAACAACGGGCCTGGTGCGCCTCACACTGCTGCTGCCTGCTCTGCCTTGGGAGGGGAGCACTGCGCTGTTGTCGCGACTGTACATGAGACGACCGTAGGTGGGATTGGCTGCTATCCTAGCCTCATCTCCTACAAACTTCACGACGTCTTCAAACTTCACTTCACGTCCCTGCCTCTCTTCAATGTCATCGGCATGTCTCCTCCAACTGTTCAGCATCGTCTCCGGTAGCTTGCTGGTCAAAGATCGCATTGTTCTGGGATCTCCCATCATGTGCGAGGAAGAGCCGAGGGCATTTTTGCAGCTGAGCAGCAACAGCGCAAATCGGTCGAGCGCCTCGACATCATTCGCCTTAATCGGACTGAACGAGTTAATACGATCCATGAATGCTGATGCTATATGGCTAGGCTGGCCGTACCTCTTATTCAGCATTCTTATAGCCTCTTGGTATCCGTTCTCCAGATACATGCAACTTGTCACTATAGCGTGCGGTTTGCTGCCCGGTGTCATGTGCTGTTCAAGATAATAGAGCTTCTCTTGTGCGCAATCCAGCTTTGAGGCTATCTTGAGCTGGAAACCCTTCATGAACTGAGCGAACTCGGTCACGTCTCCTCCGAATTTCTTCATCTCTATGATCGGTAAGCGCATCAGTGAGGCAGTTCGCTCGCGCTCTTGGGTCAGCTGTCTGTTGTCCGGCTCGGGGTTATCTGACGCGCCGTCGTCCCTGGCGAAGCTCACCCTGTTTGATGACGTGGCAGGCTGGTCATCGATGACAACCGCGCTCGTTGACTTGTCTCCACCGACACCAGACTCGGCGGTCGGCACTGGACAACGGTGAGATCCTTGCGAGGTATTACATTCGTTGACTGCGGCACCTGCCATTTCTTGATCCTGGAAACATTTAATAGCCTGCTCTCTAGCGGACACTTCTGCTATCTTGGCTTCCAAATCTAGCAGTTCCTCTTTACGTTTAAGCTCGGCAACCTGTCTTTCTATTTCCTGTTTTTCCTTAACGGCCTTCAAACGTGCCAGCAGTCCAGCTCTGGCGGCAGCTTCATCTGCCTGTCGCAAAGTCAGAGACTCTGACGTCGTTACTCTTGTACCTGCTTGGGATACGCTGTCATTTGGCTCTACGTTGTCATGTTCTTCTAGAGCCTCTGCAAATCTAAGCCTAAGCTTTTCCTTATTTCCCTGGCATGACAAACCTCGTGCCTTTAACTCGCGCTTCAAGTCCTTGACGTTCATATTTAGCAGCATCTTGCAGCTGGTCTTATAGCATCATGACACGAAACGAATGGCAATAAAAGGACATGAATAAGATTCGTAAATTACCTTGTAGCAGCGCTGATCCATCCGCATCACATCAAAATTGAGTACCTTGTGATGCTTGAATAGGTAGATTTTACGTGGTCATATCGTTCGTATTTAATATAATGAAACTATTCCTTTGTTATGAGCAAGAACAAACTTCGTAACTGTTAATTCCCTGGAGGGATCTTCTGGTACTGTTAATTATAAATATATAGTTTCTTTATATTTTCTTGTAGTCGGAGTCTTCTTGAGTCATAGAGAAAGAAAGGACATCTTCTACGGGGTTTATTGCTTGAGTGACACTCTCATAGGCGGTATCTTAACGCAAAACATTACCGTTTCAATCGTGGTCACCAGCAATTCCTTATCGTAATATGCACTGTCTACATTATATGAATATTTCTCTTAAATGTTTCACATTTGCTATTTCCTTAATATTTTCCCCCGTTACGAAGTTTTTGTCCTCCTTACTAACTAACTAAAACCTTGACCTTTCTTCAATCAAAATATTTACAACAATTAAAACACTTCGCTCACGCGTGATCATTTCCGGGAGCGCTCTCGGTAGAATATTCAACACTAACCAAATTGCATCATATCGCATATCATTCGATTCGGCTGATCACCAGGAACACAATGACTTCATTTTTTAAGCTCTAGCGTCATTATGTGCCAAGTTATTGGCAAAAACGTCATTTGACCTCAGTTGACCTCATTTGACCTGACCCATGGATAGGTACACCAAACAAAGAAGCACCAAGTGACCTGCTGTTGAGTACTGTCGTTTCAAAGCACAAAAGTGATAGAACGAAGCAAAAATCTCCAGTATTTTCCGAATTTAATATTTTCCCATAGGCTTAACATTACGACGTAATGACCTCTAACTGACCTCAGGTCAGTGACCTAAAAAAACCCGAACTATATGTTATACAACTCGGTGAACTTAGCACATCCTGAAAGTTTGAAGGAAATCAGTCAAAAACTGTGAGTTGGACAGGTGCAAAAAGAAAATTGAAATTTGACCATGACCTTGTACTGGTTTTTCTGACCTGGTGACCTGACCCAAGGTCACCCGGACCTGATATTTTCAGGTCATATGTAAAAAGGTTGCCCCATAGGCTGTGCCAAATTTGGCGGGCGCTATCTTTGAAAAACCTTAGGGGAGGGGTCGCATCGACCCACCTCCTGCCAGGGCGAGGCTTAATAGTATATATAATTACATATAGTTCAGTATTGTAAGACATGTTTATAAAATCTGATGGCCAAGAGTTGCGAACGAAAATTATAATTAAAATTAAATTATAATTAAAAAATTAAACACAAAAAAGATTTAGATTTTAATTATAATTTTCGTTCGCAACTCTTGGCCATCAGATTATATGATTATAGAGCCTTGCTTGCTTTGGCACAGGGGTTTCTCGACTCCCTCAGATTTGTTATACGTATTCGCCGGAGGACCCATGAACGAAAATCAGTCATCAACGACAACCGCTTATTACAAGATGCACCGTGAATTGTGATTGCATTGATGAAAAAAGATCATTGCAAACAAGATTCGACTCTTTAGACTCCCGCTCGCAAGTACGAACGCTCTCCCACACGTGAGAATAAATAGTGAAGGAAATCTAACGATTTTCACTCATCCGTCGTCTTATCTTCGAAACCTCAATGGGAAGCTGCCTGCTGCAGTGTCATATACCTCACGAGCTGGTGACGTGAAGAAAGCTATTGCCATAGGTAAGTAGGGTAGGCATAAAGCTACAGCAGCATTGTGTTTCGTTGTAGCTTCACATGCGTCACGCGCACTGAGCTGATGGTGATTGGCGCCCACCAAGGCCGATCAATGAACGTCCGACTGGTGAACGCAAGCGGCGCCGGTATTCGCCTGGGGCGATGGACGGGGTCGAACGCTACGAGCATCATGACCTCAGGCCGGCGCCCGTTTTTATCCTGTCAGACACCAATGCGGCGCCGCTATACCCGCTATACAGCAGTTTTATTCAACCGCTGGCGTAGAAATACTATAGCAGATCTTTTATGACACAAGCCTTTGAGGCCCGCTGGGGACCTCAAACCGAACAGAGTAGCATGGTTCGCCGAACTGCCGTGTCCCGTGAATGCGCCCATACTTTCAATAGAAACCATGAACACAATTTAAATTACACATACATACCTACGATAACCTATGTGTCGGCACAATAATATGATAGTACATGACACATCAGTGCACGCCACGCTTAGTAAAAAGTCGCACAGGCCTAGCACTGTTCCAGGTATCATAAAGGGCGATGCTGCTATTTCGGCGGGGATGGGACGGGTGGCGCGGTGAAGGGAGGGGAGCGGTGCAGCTTCACGAGCCAGCTGGCTCGGACCAGACGGCAGGGGCCATGTTTCACGGCAGAGCGCTGCAGTGCGCTGCGCGCGTCGGCGCGTTGGGTTTCCATGGCAATATCAACAAACTTCCCTCTGACGCTACGCTATGACGTCATCGCAAAGCGCTAGCACCGCGGCGCCAGCATCATCCGCACGCTAGCAGCATTCGCACTCAAGCTTCTGTTCAATTGGTACTAGGTTCTTCAAGGACTCTGTTCCAAACGCGATTTACCATAAGCTAACGGATCGCACGCAACGTCATTCGAGTGACGTCAGGGGAATCCCTCAGCTCCCAGCGCGCTGCAGCGCGCGCAGCGTCGGGCGGTGAAACAGGGCCAGGGTGCGGCCGGCGGTGGAGCTGCGTTTCGGTGACGAGTGTGACCTGGGCTGACCTGGACGACCCCATGGTGGCTACCTGACAGCGACATTTCCCGGATCGAGCAAACGGTGAGAGGTTATCAGGAGTTCTAATGTTTGCTGAATTGTGTGCTACAGCATAAACTGGAGTCGTGGGTGACCTTGGGGACTGGCGAGTGTGGCGACCATGGGCTGGTGCAGCGGCTGCAATGCGATCAAGCCGGAACAACAGAGACAGTTGCACTGCACATGAGGCATGAGGATCACTGCACATTGTGCAGTGATGTGACGTGCCACATAGTTGATATGCCTGAAGCAGGACGCATGCATTCAGTTGTGCTCAGGTGGCCGCTTTCATAAATCGTAGTAGTTTACACTAGGGTGTATATTACACCCCAAGAAACTACATCCTCTAGAAGTGGGTGTTTTTATGAGGATCTTAGGGCGTATGATGCGCCGGCTGTATGCTTTGGTTTGTTTTTGGACTATATTTTAGTCGGGGAAACTGTGGTCAAACCTTCGAAGCCTTCCATTTTTGGAAGGATTTTCCATATATGGGTACGCACTACGCATTTTCCAAAAATGGATACGCTGATGACGTAATCGTACCCAAATATAGAAAATGTTGCGCATATGTTGGGACTTACCGATTTGTGCCGAACATGCAGCAAATGTGACTATCGCCCCTGGTCGCTTTCGATTCGTCATAGTGAAGTGTCCATAATCTAGCGTGGATGTCAAAATCCTAACGTGGATGTATTCTATGTAATTATTCAAAGTAATGATTCGTGGACAATTGACAAAAAATTACCTACAAACGATGGTTTTATCAGACCTTATCAAACATTTTGTAAGCAAAAAGCTGCGAACAGAAAATCTACATTATAAATCCTAAAAAGTACCCCGCCGCCGCCCACGCCGTGTGCAACATAGTCACTTTGTAGCGCTTATTACGCGGCGGCGTCCGTTGACCTACGGCCGTGAAATTTTAAAGACATGCGGGCCACCTTTACACGTAGCTTGTATTAAATTTTGGACGTGATGCGGCCGGGGGTGCGCCCTTGGCGCGTGCTCAAGTGCGCCATAGGGTTAACATTAAAAACGGCAAAAACAGGCTATTGCTCGCGAACGGTGAAATTACGGCTACGGGGGTGAAATTTTCGCGCCAAGTCGGACGCGTGCACTCATTTGACGCATTAAATTTTCGAGGGCGTGGGTTCAGCGGTGTGCACGTGGTGCGGCCGCGACCGATGCCGAGCAGAGGGCACGTGCTTTAGGCTCAGTTGTTCGCTTAAAAAAACTGAGTGGAAATAATCACGGTGACTATAAATAGAAATAACCAGTAAAACGCCTTTTGGGCGAAGAACGAGCGAGCGAGATAGTGAGCCCTGCACGTGCGGAAGGGCGAGAGGGTACCTCCAACGGGCTTGTGCAAAGCACCCTTCTAACCGGTCGCTAGCGGTGTGCCAAATTTGACGGCACCCTACTAACCGGTCCCCAGCCGTGTAGTGTGTACCAAATTTGAGCGCAATCGGCCCAGCCGTTCTCGAGATCTGGAAACGCCCCCTGCACGTGCGCGCGCACGTGCAGTAGCACCCTAACCGCAACACATGGGAATGCATTGCCTGGTGGGTGCCTACCTGTATGCCAAGTTTCAGCGAAATCGCCTCAGTAATTACCGAGTTACTGACATGGGAACAAATTTGGCACCTCTTCTTTTTGTATTTTGCACGTGCAGTGGGGGTCACTCACATAGATCAAGAGTATCCGACCTTTGGTAGAAAGGATGCAGCTACCCTATAAAAATTACCGCAAGACAATCGCTCAAGCGGATGCTGAGATATGGGCCTCTCAAAATCATTACTTTTGCAAAACTGCTTGAACACCCTTGACTTTTCACGTGGCACGTGCCACGACGGTCACTGAGATGTATCAAAAGTAGTCAATTACGGGGTAGAAGGGATGGAGCTACCCAGCAAAAAAAGACCGCAGGCCAATCGGTCCAGCGGTTGCTGAGACATAAGCCTCTCAAAAGCGTTACAGGCCGGGCCGGGCCGGGCCGCTCATACTGAGATTTTTCCCTTATATTGAAAAGACTTCGTAATAAGGTGGCGAAGTACTAGAATGAGCAGCATGATTGAATATCGTAGAAGAATAACCGTATGCTCACTATCTTTTAACAATCCAAAGTTAGCCTAAAATGAGTGAATATATTTCGGAAACGTTCCTTCTTCAGTTCAAAAGTTAACTACATATACAAGGCATAGATTAGAAATGTCATTTCTGTGCCTTGTATAGTTAACTTTTGAACTGAAGAAGGAACGTTTCCGAAATATATTCACTCATTTTAGGCTAATTTTGGATTGTTAAAAGAGGTCGAGCCTTGCGCGTGCGGCATTACGATGGAGCACTTCCAAATGACTTATGCATAATGCACGGCGCCCTACTAACCGCTCTTTAGCGATGTACCAAACTTAAGCGCAATCGGCCCAGTCGTTCCCGAGATCTAGAAGCGACACCTGCACGTGCACACGTGTAAACTGCAGGTCCCAACTGACTTTCGCACGGCACCCTACTAGCCTGTCCCTAACCGTGCACCAAATTTGAGCGCAATTGGTTCAGACGTTCTTGAGATCTAGAAACGACCCCTGCACGTGCGCACGTGCAGCAACACTCCAACCATGACGCATGGAAATGCATTGCCTAGTGAGTGCCTTCCGACATGCCAAGTTTCAGCGCAATCGGCCCAGTTGTTACCGAGATATTGCAATTGTTGCAAAACTTACACCTCTTAGTTTTGCACGTGGCACGTGCATAGGGGATCATCCGCATGCATCGAAAAGGGTCAAATACTTGAAAGTAGAAATAAAGCTACCCTGCAAAAAGTACCGCAAGTTAACTCGCGCAGGGCCGGGGGTGTTTGAACACTAGGGTGGTCCGGTTTGCATCACTTTTTTGAAAAGTCACGGTCTCACCCCCCAATCTGGTGCATTTTGGGGCGCTGATTACGATAAGCACATAAAAAATGCAAATTTCGATTTTTTTTTGTAGGCCCCGGTCGATCAGATTTTGAAAATTTTGCGAATTCGCACATTTTTTACCATATATCAGAAAAATGAAGAATAAAGTTATTAAAATGATATTTAACAGATGCAGCCAACATATTCCTAGACATATGTGCGCAAATTAGTGAGCTAGGGTCAGCCAAATTATTTTTGGACTGAAATTACTGAGGCCATTTCCGTGTTTCCGCTACCGGCCGGGTGGCTATCAAAGCATACAAAAGCGCAGCGTACAATCCTCAAAACATACAAAATCGCAACATACAGCGCGCAAAACCTACAAAACAGGCCAGGTAGGGGACAGCCCAAACGTACAAAAGCGCAGCGTACAAAATCCCAACGTACAAAAGTTTACCGTCCAATGGGTAAAGCGTACAATGGCAAATCAAACAATGATCAGAACGTACAAAATTGGAACGTACAATGGCAGATCAAACAAACGCGTATCATACAAAATTGCAACCTACAAAACGAGATGATCGTATCATACAAAATCGCATCGTCTAAAATCGGAAGGTACAAAATGCCTCTGGTTGACGCCGGGTGAATTGATATTTAACAAGTCACCCACTAGATGGGGTAATGGTGCTGTGGCAGTGGTTTTTTGGAGGCCACCAGGAAATAGAGTGGAATGCCACTAAGTCCCTTAGAAACACGATACCTCTGGACGCTGCACCGGCTGGCTATCGACGCTGCGGGCGGTCGGAGGGTGCCGAGGGGAATGGTTCCGAGCAGGCAGGAACACGATACCTCTGAACGCTGCACCGGCCGACTATCGACGCTGCGGGTGCCGCGTGGACCGGTGCCGAGCAGGCGACGAGGAGAAGCGGGCATCAAGACCGTGAGAAATCTATTATATTGGTGGGTGTGCATATGTAGGTAAATGAGGCAAACGTGCATAGATATGTAACACCTTCATCCTTGATCATACCCCTACCCACGCACTGCGGGGGGGACTGTTTAAACAACCCCTCCGGTTTCTCGCGAATATCTAAAAAACGGCGGCTCAGAGTGCCGCCGTGTTTTGCACATCTTATCATACATCTTTTCTACACCTTCTGTGAAAACTTCAGACCAAAGTCATCCAAGGTCAGGTCACCATATCACGTCAAGTGACCTTACTACATGAAAAGTTTCAATGCCTGTCACAGCTACACCGAGTGACTGATCACTTTCAAACTTTAGGCAACTGATAAAACAACAGTATACACAATACACATAATGTATACAATAACTATAATAATGATACACAAAATGTATCTCTCGGAACTTCGATATCGGTGACCTAAGGTCAGTTCAATTTTGCGACCTCTCCAGTCAATGGGAGAAAATTGAAAGGCGCCTCTTTTGGACGAACGTCATTCTAATCACTTTCAAACATCGAATTACAAGTAGACAAGACAAACTGAACCGGAAAATGGTTCCCGTGACCCATCTTTATGTCCCTGAGGTCAGCTCAGGTCACGAATGGTATCCTACAGTTTTTCGCAAATAACTTTTAACAGAGACATGCTAGAGCGATGAAAAAACCTTATATGTATGTGTTTGGCTCGACAATACGGATCGACTGATGCAGAATTACCTTTTCTGGTCAGGTCATGACATTGACCCGAGGCCATGACCTTGTCATGAGGTCATGACCTTGACCTAGGGTAAATTTTTCAAGTTGAACTTTTGAGGTCAACTTATAGTTCTTTCGATGCGTCGCCTTGACGAGAGGCACACGATGCTGCTGAAAGTAAGCTCGTGCATGTTTTGAGTCAAAAGGTATTGCAGAAAAACAGTTCCCACAAAAACCATCTACCTATTCTGGCAGTTTTTGGCCCCTGCACGTTAAACCGTTCCTAATCTATGCGCTGGTTTGTCGAAATTATCGAAGTTTGACCTGGAAAGTGGCGAAATTTTACCTTTGGTGACCTCTGTTGACCTGACCTTTGAGCTGACCTAAAATGTGGCCGATATAATTTCTTCATTACTTCTGCCGCTCTTTCGAACGCCGCCTACGGCGTGTCGCTACGTGGCCCAGGAGCCGAGTGAGAAGGGGGGGGGGTGTTCAAACACCCCCCCCCCCCAGTGCAGGTGGCGCCAAGCACCGGCCCGGCGCCGGTTAGTCAATCGCATGGTGTTTAACATAACGGTACATCATCGCGGTGTTTAACCCGCGCCCTGCTGGGGAGGGAGGTGTTTGAACACGGTGAACACCTGTGAACACCCCCTGTGTTTTTTTCACAAATATCTCAAAAACGGCAGCGCGGAGCGCCGCCGTTTTTGGCACACCTTATAATACATTTTGTACATACTATTGCTCTTAGCAATCGTTGAAACTTTCGAAGCGATCGGTCACTTGGTGTAGCTATGGCGGACATTGAAACTTTGCATGAGGTGAGGTCACTTCAAGTGACCTGGTGACCTGACCTTAAATGACCTTGGTCTGAATTTTTTTTAAAAACATGTGTAGAATTGATGTATTATAAGGTGTGCCAAAAACGGCGGCGCTCCGCGCTGTAAACTATACTGAGATAAACTCTGCATATCTCAGAGTTTTGATATCGATGACCAAAGGTCAGGTCAATTTTGCGACCTCCCCATTATAAGTCAATGGGAGAAAATTGAAAAGCGCCTCTTTTGGACCAAAGCCATTATAAACACTCCCAAACACTGAATGGACCTCTTGCATGAAATTGGTGGCAACGTTTATTGGGTCATAATGAGTCTGCTGATTCCAAAAATACCACTTACAATTCAAAATTCAAAGGGCATCACCTTTAATTTTTACTTTAAAAATTCGGCTCTCGAATGGCGGGAGAAACGTCGCCGCGGGCGGTTTATCCCCCGTGACGTCACATATAGGGTCACCCAAATGGCGCAGGAATTACGAGACTGGCGCGGCTGAGTGGCTCGTGTGCTGTGTTGTAATTTGTGAAGTTCTGTGAGGTGTGAGAAGGTGTTGGAGATTTTGGAAGGTCTAGATTGTTGAAACAAAGGTTGAAGTGCTTTCCTGACTGTCGTCGAGGCTGCTATCAAGCATGAAAAGAGCTGCAAGGGTAGATGATATGTATGAAGGCTTCTTGAAGGCCGATTCAAGAAATCTGCCGGCTGTAGATAATGACATGATTGAAAGCTTCTTCAGAAGGGACACCAACTTCATCAGTCCAGAATTTCGTCTTGTGAAGGTCAAGAGGTAAGTACCTGTGGGATGGTTAATGGAAATAAAACGTAGCTACTTGTACTGGTTAAGTCGTAGAAACTTTGGAGTGATCTATGAGGTTGACGGAATGTTAAAAAGTTTCCATTGTTTTCAGGAGAAGAATTGAAATTATGATCCCTAGTTGAGAGAACAGCACAGTTAGATGAATTAATTAGATTGTGAAGGAGATTTCCAGATTATTTTGAGTTGGTTAAGGTACCTATAGCTTACCTACCAACTGCAAACAATGGGCAATGACTGGCACCTTCCTGGCACCTGAAGATTCAGGGCAAAATGGAAATATATTTCTGTTAAACTGCCAGGAAGCAATTGTGCATGAGTTTACCTCAAAGTTAAAGAATAACAGTTAGATATAGGACAAATAACAGTGCCCTGTTTCATGGCAACATGCTACATGTGCGGCATGCGCCATGCATATTGCTGTACTGCGTTTCCATGTGAACATCAACAAACTCTGACGCTCTCAATGTTGTGTGTAGCGCACTGCAGCGTAATGCTGTGGTGCAACCCAGGCATCAGTTGTGCCATGTTCAGATATTTAATTTGTGTTATTTGCTCATGTTCACTGGTAGATCATTTAAGCAAATTTGTGTTCCGCTGTGCCTGTGTAGAACTTAATGAGGGAGGGTCTTGTAAAGTTGTGTTATGAGGATGTTCTAGATATTAAAGATACTTTATAATTTAAGGATAGAAAACAGCTTTAAAGGCCAGCTTTCAAAGAGTTTATGCAACATAACATTGACATCATTTCCCCGTTTGCTGGCAGGTCTGGAAGAGAACAATATGGAGATGATGCCATCGGTTACGTCCAACTGAAGAGGACCTCCAACCAGTGTGAGGTGTGGGCGCGTGTGACCCCAGAGCACAAGGTGACCAGCAAAGGTTATAGAGTCACTGTGCTGGTCGACGAAGAAGAGGAGGAGGTGAAATATGTGCAGTGTCTCGACTGTGTGGCAAGCCAGGGAGGCTGCAAACATGGCGTTGCCCTCCTGATGTGGCTCCACAGGCGGAGCTCAGAGCCGTCTGTGACGGACGTCCAGGCCTACTGGAAGAAGCCGCGTCTCTCGATGGTGGGAGGCGCGGTAAAGGCTGTACCAGCTGGAGACCTGCGGCCACATCAGAGGGACACCTCCAGCGGCAGTGCCACACCTGGTGCCAACATGCTCGGGGACGCGGGTGAGGACTTCTTCAAGGAACTGGTCGAAGAGGTGCGGAGAGGTGAGACGGGTGCAAGTGGCCTACTATTCGACTATTTTGTACCGTCACAGGCTCCGTGGGAAGGGTGTTCTATGGACCGTCTCTTGGATGCCTACCTAGGTACCTGTCCCGGAGACGTGTCCGCCAAAGATTTTATCTTGTTTGCCAAGAACCGCATGACATCGACCACGTGCCAAGTTGTAAGCAAGGAAACTCGTGCGCAACACCAGTCCAGCATGTGGCATGCCATGAGATTCGGCCGCATTACCGCTTCAAAGCTGCACGAGGCGGCGCGCTGCCAGACCAAGAGCGGATCCCTCGTGATGTCCGTCATCGGTGCGGCTAAGCTGAAGGACAGCGCTGCTATGCAGCGAGGGCGCGAGCTGGAGCCACAGGTGCTCAAAGCCGTGTCAAAGAAGGTGGGGAAGGTCGAGAGTGCGGGCCTCGTACTCCGACCTGACCTGCCTATCTTTGGCGCGTCGCCGGACGGCCTGACGAGCGACGGCAGGGCGGTGGTAGAGGTTAAGTGCCCGTCAAGCGAAAAGACTCTGAGGCGATACATTACCGAGGAGCAGACGATGGTCAGCAAGCATCGCGCTCAGGTGCAGCTTTTGATGCTGATGACCGGGCGCGACTTGGCCTTCTTCTGTGTGGCAGACCCTGGTTTCCCACAGAAGAAGGCAGTGTACATATGTAAGGAAAGATATGATGAGGCGTACTGTCGCGACCTCATTCAGACCGCCAGCAAGTTCTGGTGTGAGAATGTCTTCCCTGAGTTGGTCAAGGGACGTGGTCAGCAGTAGATTGAGCTGATGTCATTGAGACGAGCACCTTGAGACGGTGCTGATGTCGACAGGGTGCGGTCGTGATCGGTAACGCTGTTTGTCGCTGTTATGCTTGAATTGTGTGGACAATAAATATCCGTCCGTTGCTGCATATTGTAAAACCTTATATACACAAAGCGTAGGTGCATGAATATGTATTCCATTACATAGTGTTCAGTAGCATCCCCTAATTACTCCAACGACAACGCAGAGTACATTTTCACACGAATCGTTAGGAAGAACTCAAACGTTTGTATGTATAGGCACAGTCACATTTCGCCCATCAACGGATCCTATGGACTGAGAGACGAGTCGCTGACGGTGCAAGTATAAGATCACAAACGCGTGCATAGTGCAACAGCCCGCACCAACGACAAACCGTAGAACCGCCCGCCTATGTCAGCCTGTTTCGGTCTAACCACACTGACTCTTTGACTTATACTTTCACAATTTTTTCCTGGAGGTTAATCAAGCCACACCCGATGGCGACCGCGTCATCCAGCAGATCTACCATCTGCAGTGGAAACCTTGAGTGAATGTCCAACGCTTTGAAAACTCTCAAGCGACCAATGACGCGTTCAACATGGATGCGTAGGCCGGCTATTGTGCGCATCTTCAGTACATCGGCGCGATCGAGGCTAACGTCACAAGCAACACTTGGTGGCCGGACGAGACAGCAGTTTTTTGAAGCCAGTGCTCCTTCTATTCCTTTGAATCCACGGTCGGCAAGGACGGTGCAGCCTGATGGGAGAAGCTCTAAAAATCCTGTTTTAGTTACGATGTCAATGTCTGAGGTTCTACCTGATACGCCTCGTGATAGAAAGTTGCACAAGCCGTCTGGGGTACAAGACACTAGGAACTTTATGGTGTTGCATTTTTTGTACTCGGACCATGATGTTGCCTGTGGCAGAGCTGCAGAGGGTTTCTCTATCTCAATTTCAAAACAATCGATGATGCTTACCACAGATGGGTACCGGGCTTTGAAAGCCAGTGGAACCCGCTTGCGGATTTCACTGCTCTCTGGCCACCTTATGCAACCCCGTAAACAGCTGGCCACGACAGGGAGGTATGCCGAGATGACACGAGAGACAAAGCTCTCAGAAATACCAAAATCGTCAGCCAGAAAATGATACTGGCGGTCAGTCCTAATACGCATCAGAATCATGAAGACAATATCTAACTTTGTGATGCCTCCGCGGCTCTCTCTGAAGTCCAGTTTCTGGGCTATCTTATTCAAAACAAACATGTTGTGTTTGCCAATGCCCAAGTAACGCATAGGGTCCGTAGCAATGTAATGCCGGATGCGCTCGCGGGACAATCTTTTCCAATCCCTGCCACCATGGGAGTCTTCGTCAGAAGACTCTGACTCAGGGACATAGTCTGGGCTGGTGTCTGCCGTAATGGGACCATCAGAATCTGTATCAGTATCATTTGCTGCAGGTGAGCTCACTAAAATCGCAGTTCTGTCATTGTTTTGATCCTGGTCAGCATTGTAATGTGAACCAGAACATGCTTTACCAGAGGCAGAGGCACTTGCAAGGGATGATGGATCCTTTGGTTTGTATTTCTGGTGACCTGCTGCAGACGTCACACCGACTTGATGTTCCATGCTGGAAGGTACAGTAAGATCATGCTGTCCGCTGGCTTGTGCATCATGGCATCCTAATGGTAAACCTGCTTGAGTCGCTTTAGACCGGAACTTCTTCCGAACAGGGTGCACCTGAGAAATGACAACATTTGAAAAAGTTAGGTACCATTATGAATTTTCATTTTTAAATTGGCCTTTCAGACTTTTTTTTGCTTGAGACAGGCTGATGAAATAAGAAGTTTGTACTTTATGAAAGCTAACAGAGCAAATACATAGCTGGCTTTATGAAAAAAAAATATTTACACAAAGATTATCACTGGAAACAGCTGCATTACACATCTTCCTGCCACTGGCAGTAGCACAACTTACTTGAAATTTTTATCACCCTACACATAAATAATGTGTTCTAACAAAAGGAAGTACAAGCAAACACCATCCCTTTTACTCACCTGGACAGATGCATCCTTGAAGCATGCTGCAGGACTATCACTTGAGGTCGGAAGATGTTGGTCTGTAGCTGTTCCTCCATCAGCTGGTAATGGTCCACTGTCCAGGTTACCACCTGGAAGGAAGAAATGGGTGTAAGTATAAGATGCACTAAGGGCATAACTCACATAATGTCACCTTCTAAAGGAAAACTCAGATAATATCAGGACCATCCACGAATTCTACTTTGATGAGCTTGTCAAAAACCATCATGCATGGTCCCCATATATTTATAATGCACTGTAATTGTTACTTCATCAGTCCACCCAATACATACTATTAAATTTCAGACAGTGTCTGATAAAATGATTGCATATCATGTTCAAGAAGTGAGATAAGCCCCATGATCGAATAGCAACTTAACCAGCACCACAACCAGGTAAATGTGTAGACCCACCTTCTGTTGGAACTGCATCGTCCACAGGTTCAGCAAGCAGTTCTTGAAGCTTTCTTTTTCTCTGCAATGAGCTTCGCTTCTGCAAAACATGTTCTGCAGCAACGCCACGGCTCTGGCAAGCGAATTTGTGGGGAGTCACTCCTGCCTTGATTTTGACGGCTCCTCCCATCATTTTGACATATAAGTAATTTTCCAGGTCATCTGGTACATCAAAATGTTGTTCGCATGCCCATAATGCTCCAGATGCAGGGGCACCATCCCTACGTGCGATCTTGTACCAATGAGCACGCTCTTTATGTGAGACCGGCACCGGTATATAGAGCAAATCAGGAGCAGTAACACTGGTGTTGGAACAGTTGGGAACAAAACACCACCGATATGTTTGATATTTTCCTTTTCCTTGCCGTTTTTTCAACATTTTCAATCGCCAAATACCGTTTCTCTCGTTTAAAAACTGCTTCACAGGCCTCCGGTTTCAGCAAAACACTCGTCGTAAATACGCAAAACCAAGGAAACCAACGCAAAACATCCAACGTGCCGATTTGTCGCAGATGCGCCATCAGGCGAACCCTAGATGTGACGTCAAGTATTGATTAGCCAATCACGTTGCGTCTCTAGCAGAAAACTTGAGGACTTAAGTTTAAGTGCGATTTTAGTAAGGAAAACCATTTTTAAGAAAGAAAGTAGCGCCAGATTCCATTTTTTGGAGTTGGAAATACCCCAGTTTCATACATTTTTTTCAAAAAAACTGTTCATGCAAGAGGTCCATTACAAGAAACTAAGACACATTGAACATGCAAATAGTATCTGAGACCCCTGTTTATGCCCCTGAGGTCATCTCAGGTCACGAATAGCATCTAACAGTTTTTCGCGAATACCTTTTGATAGAGGCATGCTAGAGCGATGAAAACGCCTTGGATGTGTTCAGCTCGACGATACGGATCGACTGATATGCAACATGACCCTTTCCGGTCAGGTCATGTTGGTAAAAGTAAGCTCGTGCAAGGCTTGAGTCAAAAGTTTTTGCACAAACACTTTCCAAAAAAAATCGGTTATTTTGGCAGTTTTTGCCCCCTGCAGGCAAAACCGTTGGCGCTAGGTCAAATCTGAGAGAATTATTCAGAAAGGGCGTTAATAGGGCTATCGAAGTCGCTTTCCGCGGCGCTGTAGCTATATCGGTTCCCGAGTTATGCGTTGGCTTCTTGGAAACTGTCGACATTTGACCTGAAAATCAGCGAAATTTTGCCTTTGACCACTGGTTACCTGACCTTTAGCCTAACCAAAAAAGTGACCGAAGTGATTTCGTTATTATTTTTGGCGCTCTTTCGAACGCCGCCTTCCGCGAATCGCTACGTGGCCCAGGAGTCGAGTTAGAAGTGGGTGTTCAAACACCCCCCCCCCCCAGCAAGGCGTGGAAATCCAGGACCCCCAGCGGGGCGCGGGTTAAAACACATTTGGAAAATATAAATATCTTCAATACAATGTGCGCTAACCAGTTTTCTCAGTAATTCAGCTAGCAAATATCGTGCTGTGTTGTTTACATCGAGGGTCGAACTTAACCCGCGCCGTGCTGGTGGCCTAAGTTTTCAGTGTCGTGCTGGGGGGAGGCGTTTTCACGTCCCCGTCTAACTCGGCTCCTGGGTCAAAGGTCACGTCACCAGAGGTCATCAAAGGTAAAATGTTGCCTATTTCAACATTTTCCCAAACACTCAACGCATAACTCGGGAACCAATAGAGCTACAGCGCCACAGAAAAGCGCATTCAACAGCTCTTTCAAAGGCCTTTCCGAGTGTTGTTGTTAGATTTGACCTCAGGTCAAATATAAATCGTGACGTTAGTAACAACGCACGATACGTTAGACGCTGGCAAAACACCAATACGGGCGAGGGTTAAATCATATGTGAACCAACCAGTTTTTGAGTGGTTAACCTAGCAAACATTGTAAATGTGTTCAACAGGATGTTTACAGTGAGGGTTGAACTTGAAAAAGATGGGCCATTGCACGATGGGACCGCGGCTGGAATTAGCGCGACATTGGTGGATTTGCCGCCCTTTCCCAAACTGAGTTAGACTGTTCCACGTAGTTCAGAAATGTCCAATTCCATCATCCATGGACCACGAATCTGCAAATATTTTTCGTCCATGGTGTATAGCGTCCGCGCCACATCAGCCCAAATACAAAGTTCTGTGACAAGCATCGTAGACCCGTTTTCGTACGGAGAAAAGTAGCAGCTAATGTAGGTAAGAAAAATGTAGGTATATTAGACGGCTTTATCAATATTTTCGGGGTCTAACCTTTAGACCATGAAACAATAAATGTTTAGACCATTGGCTTCACGATGGAAAGAAAAACTTATAACGGAATATATAAATACGCTTCAAATGTTAAGTTTGTAGGTGCTTTTAAAATTGTGAGTTAATTTTACTGTCATAAACATTCTAGAATGCCGATATAAAACGTCCCGCTAGGTCGCGCTCTTCTTTTATCAATATGGTCTTTACCGATCAATTGCCTTTCAGAAAATGTATAATTTAGCTGCTTCAGCCTGCTACCTACATCGAAAATGAGGGGCATTTTTGTTTTTACTTCAGGTCGCCGGCGCTGGCCATGCGCGGTTACCACGAGCGGGCCGGAAGCTGAAAGTAACAGATCGACAGATCCTCCTAGGAGTCGAACAAGGCTTCCAATAGGCAATAGGCAACACGGATTCATGCCGGGTCGTTCGTGTGCATGGAATCTGTTGACGATGTTAAACGCTGCCTGGAACAACATCGCAGCTGGGTCTCAGACAGACGTAATTTACACAGACTACAGTTCGGCCTTCCAAAGTGTCAATCATAAACTACTCCTGCATAAACTTCAAAATTCCTATCAACTGGGTGGCAGTGCTCTTTCTTGGTGCAAGTCTTACCTGTCTGAACGAGAACAGCGCGTTGTGGTGAAAGGGAAGTGTTCGCGGTGGACACAGGTACCATCCGGCACGCCGGAAGGTGGCCTGTTGTCGCCGCTGTTATTCGCCTGCTTCATCAATGGCCTACCAGACTGCGTCCAAACCGATTGTGTGATGTTCGCTGACGATGTTAAGCTGTATAGCAAGGTAGACACCGTCGCGGACGCAGCTTTTTTGCAACAGCAGCTTGACGACCTGAACCGATGGTCTGTGCGTTGGCAGCTCACGCTGATCCCAAGTAAATGTAGAGTACTTACCCTAACTTTACGGCGCAACCCAACAATCAGTATTTACAGCGTGGGAGGCCAACAGCTTGAGAGAGTGAGCGTGATGCGAGATCTAGGGGTCCTGTTGGATGAGAAGCTCACGTTCGGTGAACATGTGGATGCAGCTGTTCGTAAGGCGAATAGGGCGCTAGGCGTACTTATGAGGTCCTTCCAAACTGGCAAAGGTGGCAAGTCACTACGATGTATCAATGTCAAGGCTGTGCTGGCTGCCTACTGCGCCAATGTACGCTCCATTCTTGAGTACGCTAGTGTGGTATGGGGAGGAGCCGCAGAGGCGCACATGACTCGAATAGAGCGCGTACTTGGAGTGTTTCCCGCTGGCCGTGCCGCATCGCCCCCTGCGAAAAAGAGTTCTCTTCCATGTACCGTACGCACGGGTGAACACAGTGCTGAACAGTCCTTTCTGTCGCATGCCAAAGCTCTGCAATGGCTTCTTGGACTGCAACCGTGAGATAGACGTGTGGACGAGCAGCACTGCGTCTTTCAAGTCTCATGTAGTTGCCCATGTTCGTAAGTAGGTACTGCTATGTTTTGATTTGTTTTTTTTATAAGTGTATTTATCTGTGTGTCGGCATATGTACATATATGTATATGCCGACACACAGATATATGTATATGTATACGTATATGTACATATATGTATATGTATATGTACATATATGTATGTAAGTGTATTTTTAACCTTCGACTTAATCTGTAATTGGGCCTCCTATGCCCGTTGATGATGCTCTCAATAAACTAAGCTAAACTAAACTAAGTGCCAACTATATTTAAGTTTTGTCCGGAAATATCCGTACCTGCTATCGGAGTGTCTGATACACTTTTCTGACCCTCACTTTATTTGTTATATAGTCCATCAGGCTATCAGATTCCCATCATGGTTTTGGTGGCTACATTATTTGCGTATGGGAATTTCCGGTTCCGTCATGACTTGACCTGGCAGGTGATGCCATCTTATCACATGACCGAACCGAGTCAAGGTCAACGCAGGTCAACTGATTAATTAATTAATTAATTAATTAAATGACTAATGATTATTTAATTAAATTTATCAGGAATTGCTTCGAAAGTACACCGACTACCATTTGTATGATTCTATCAACCCTTTCATGTGAAAAGCGGGCACGAAACACGAAAAAGTACCGATGTCGCGCTAATTCTCGCTCCGGTCCCATTGTGCATTGTAAGAAATAGTTTTAGTGTCTATGCTACATATTTTGCGACCGATACCCCCTGAACCCGATTACGACTCGCTGACGAAGTTTTGTAAATACAATTTGAAAGCTCCGACCCGAACGATTTCTTGTGGAGTGCAGCTCTCATTCACTTATTGCATTAACAAACTCCACAGTCCACATCATATCTTTATGTGTAACTAAGCTGTTGGTGTCGGTAAACACCCATTTGGATGTCGGCGGTGACGCCTAATGGTTGAGCTGACCTGACCCCACCTACCCAAAATGCACGGATACATCGTCTTTGATCAAAACTAGCACGAAATTCGAAATCAGAACCCCGAAAAAAACTCACTAACAACCTCATTTTAAAAAGTTAAAATAGGCCACGATTTCCCTGACTTTTAACCCTCGCCGGACCTATTGGTTTTCTACATACGCGCCGGCCGAGGGGGGGGGGCGGGTACGACCCCCCCTCGCCGTTTCGCCCCTGGTGGAGCTAGCGCGTCGCGGAAAAAAACGAGCGTGTGCGCCGTTACGAGACGCAGAGATTGGTACCCGATTTTAAGGTCCTAAGTCAACCGGTGACCTCTGAGGTCAGGTCAAGTGCCCCAGGGTACGGTTCAGTTTTTGGTGAATAACTTCGCAAAAAACGGCCGCAGAGCCGCGATTTTGGCAGCATCGTGTTCGCCTTGCTCAGGCGCGTCGAATGATATACTTTTTGTCCGGGTCAGGTCAACTTGGGGTGTTGACCTCAGGTCAAGGTCAGGTCAGCACCCCAGGTCACGAAGTTGGTCGAAAGAGGTCATGTCGCATATCATTCGATTCGGCAGGTCTTCCTGAGTCCATTGGTGGCTTTCTCGACTCGCTAGCTCAATTTGATCAAGAGTTATTGACGAAAAACTAATATGACCTTGATGACGTCATAAATGACGTCACGCAAGGTCAACATTGCAAAAGTGACGCATCTAACCTTGCAAGGAGTGCATCAAATCACGATTCTGTGTGCTTGAGATAGTTGGAGATCGTTCCCGGCGCCAGAATAGCAGTTTTCATTTTTCCCCATTGACTTATAATGGTGAGGTCACGAAAATGACCTGACCTCATATGACCTTTA